GGGACCTGCTATTTGGCTGAGTGCCAGGCTGGGCCTACCAAAACATCCTCAAAGCATAACTGCGATCCAGTGGTCCCACACAGCCAGATAGCCAGAACCTCATAAGCATACGCTGAGCTTAGTCACCACCACAAAATGTAGCCAGCCCATAAAATATTAGTAAGTGTTGCCTGAAATGTTCTCAAATAACTGTGAAGAAAAATGCATGGAGAATAACCTCCTCCCACAATGTTTCAAAATTACAGTATTAGAAAGAAAGTCAGATTTTACATTTTGGTGACCTTTAATATATTTTTGAACAAATACTGGTGACATCACACTTTAAATATCTCAATGAATTAGAAGTACGACGCTTTTTCTTCTTTTTTTTACTCAGTTGACCTAATTGGTCATAAAAGGCTAGTTTTGCAAGAAGCGGGGAGCTGAGGGAGGGAGAGATTAAGGAAGAAGATTGAAGGGGACTCACACTCCAAATTCTTCAGAAGTGCAGCAGCCTTCATAATGGTCCAAAGTTTGGGACACTGCAATAGATGAGCTCCCAGCAAACCCAAAAAGACCTTGTTTTCAGACATACTCATGTCCAGTGGATGAACTCTCAGCTGGTGACACAGAATTAGAAGCGTTCAAAGGTATTACAAGATCTGAGAGGATGAAGAATGTATGGTGAATTTGGTAACTACCATGGACTCAGCAGTGCCCAGGGTCCTTACCACAGGTGCTAACAGGGAGGCACCAGGAGGCACTGTAATTGTAGTGGCCTGAAAACTTGCCCAAAATTCTGAGTTGCAAATGTGACCAATCTCAAGAAGCCCCCACAGAGCAGAGAAGTGGAGTATAAAGACTGACCATGGGCACAGGGGTGGGGGTCCAGTAGCACCCAGAATCCTTAGCAGGATGCTGGATCCTGGACTGTTCATCAAAGCTGCATCTGTGGGTAGGGGATTAGGCTCAGGGCCTGGAGGTGTGCTGTCTGTGACCACCAGGAGGCACCTCCTGGCTAGATGGAGCCTGGAGGATTGGCTTCTGAGCCCCCAGTTACAAAGGCTAAGGACCACAACCACATCTGCCAGTTGAAAGGTTCGGACCAAGGTTGACAAAGCCAGGGTGAGCAGTGGGTCCAAGCTAAGGTCCTGGGCTGGGAAGGCCAATCACTGCAGGCTAGATTGGCCATGGGAACACCGGGCACACAAATGTGAGGCAACAGGTACCACAGCTGGAGACCACAGGCTGAGTGGGTCATGGCCCTGGTGACATGGGTGGTATCTCAGTCGAGAGAGCCTTCCAGGCACTTGGATCTTCTACCAAGTGGGCATCTCCAGGCTGGCCTGTGTCCCGGACTCCATGGGGTCTGCAACTAATCCCTCTTGCCTGGGTTTCCACAGCTCATGGTACCTGGGTTATAGGATGCCCATGACAGCGTCCAGGGCAAAGGTCACAGTGTCTTCCTCAATAATGCACTGAGAGGCCACTTTGCTTATTTGTGCAAAAATAAGCAAAAGGTGGCAAAATTCGTGGCCTCCTTGAAATTGAAACCATGGTTGAAGTCCGCATGATAGCCATAGGGAACCATTTAGGTATTTCGCCCCCTCCTTGAGTTTTTTCTGAATTCAGCATTATCAACTCCAACAAAATAAATTTTACCTCTTCCCTTTCATCAGTTATAGCTCTAAAAGTCATTGCAGTGGTTACCAGCACTAATTCCATAAATTATTGACTGAAATGCTTCAAATACCTCATAGTAAGGAAAATGTTGACTTGGGTCTAAAATAGCTAGATAGTAAAGAATTTTTGAATTTTATTTTAAGGAAGAATTCATTGCTTCCTTACAAGTGTGTGTAAAACAAGACTGTTGAATTATATCAAATGCCTATCAACATCTATGCACATGATCATATAACTTTTCTTCTGGTTGCATTTACAGGATAAGTTATATTCCTAGATTTTCTGATTTAAACCATCACTGCCTTCCTGCAATAAACCCCATGGAGTTATTGCATGTCATGCTTTTAATGTACTCACATTATCTTAGCTAATATTCAAGTTAAACTTTTTACGTTGATGTGCATAAATAACTTTTGTCCATCATTCTCTCTCATTCTGCAGCTCATCAGGATTTTCTGTCAATGATGCGCTTATTTTAAAACTTGAATTTTTTTTCTCATTTTAAAGGCCTATGTATACTTGAAATAAAAATTTCACACAATTTCTCTGTGAAGTTCTCTCATCTTTATCATTTTTGAAGAGACAGGTCTTCTGCCATTCTTCTGTATTTCATACACAAAAATTTACGCCTTAAATATTCTATTGAGTAAGTTAATTTTTCTAAAATAGTCCATACCATTGGAACTTTGTGTTGATTTATTATATTATTTTACAGTTATTCTGACTCATTTTCTGCATATATGCATATCAATTCCTTCTTGCTACTTTCATATAATTGATCTTTTCCTAACTTGTAAATCAGAAGCTTAATTCAGTTGATTTTATTCTTTGAATGTGATGGAGAAAATAATTAAGGCTACAGCTTTTCCTCAGCATTATTCTAAATGAGTCGCATCTATTCCTTTTTCAATGTTATTAAGTTTTAAATTTAAAAACACTCCAGTAATTCTTACTATATTCCAAGCATTGGTATTAACAAATTACATATATTAACTCAAGGAACAGCCAACTAAACACAGGAGGTAGGTGCTATCTCCATTTTACACTGAGGAAAGTGAGTCATAAAGTTATGTAATTTTCAAGGTCACACAAGCTGGTAAGAGAAGCTGGAATTCAGAATCAGGCTATCTTGTTCCATAGTTCATATTCTCAATAGATATTTATTGTTTTGTGGAAATTTGGCTTTTATGGTTTGCACTTCCTTTGAGATCCATTCAATAAAAAAATTTTAACCTTCCAGGAAAAGGACCTGCACATTTTCTGACTTTCAAAAATATTTCAAATTTTATTGCACAATAATTCAGAATGTTTGAATTTTCTTCATTTTGTTTAAAGAAAATATGGATATTTTCTATTCATTCTGATATAATGTCATATTTTGTGATTGATTCTTTGGCAGGATAGGTTGTCAAGGACATGACCATATTCTTGGGATGCAGTGACCTTGGTGACCCCACAGCCAGTACCATAAGCTTAGCATTCATATTGTAACTGAACTCACTTGAGCAAAGATATCTTTCCCTTTTAGAGAGCATGCTCATTTTGATTTTACCTGTCGTCTAACTGATCTTTTGCTCATTACAATAGTAAAAAACATACTCCCGGGTAGAGATTTAAGATGCTAATGAGGCATGGGATGTACAAATAAGCAGGTACAGCTACTGTGCATGTTCACCCAGAAGACCGCCAGTGTACGCTTACTAGTAACACCTGTTACCACCTCCTTGTGAATAACTATGTAAAACTCCCATAATGGGAGTTGCTCCAGCAATAATCAATGCCATCTCTGTAACAAGCAGCCCGCCCTGAATTCTTTCCCTCTCCGTGTGTACGACATATTCTGCACCTAACTTTCCAAATATCCTTTTTCTTTCATAATAAATTATTCTATGCTGTACTTCTTTTGCTGTATGTCTCTTATTTAAATTATTTTATACTAAGAAGACAAAGACCAGAGGTATCACGACAGCTGTCAACAGCACCTGAAGAATTTATTTTCTATCATCTGGTTTGTCAATTCTACCTTATTGTTAATGTTGTCTAAGTTTTTCATATCCTTAAGGTTCTCCATTTTTTCTGGCTTAGATGAGTAAGGTGACTATATTAGTTCATTCTCACTTTGCTACAAAGAATATCCCTGGGTAATTTATAAAGACAAGAGGTCTACAGGCTTCACAGGAAGCATAGCAGTGTCTGGTTTTGGGGAGGCCTCGGGAAACCTACAATCATGATGGAAGGCAAAGGGGAAGTAGGTACATCTTCCATGGTGGGAGCAGGAGGAAGAGAGAGAGGGGGTAGGCACTACATACTTTTAAACAACCAGACCTTGTGAGAACTCTATCACAAGAACAGCACTAGAGGGGTGGTGCTAAACCATTCCTGAGAAATCACCACCATGAGCCAATCAGCTGCCACCAGACCCTTCCTCTAAAACTGAGGATTTCTATTCTACATGAGATTTGAGTGGGGACACATATCCAAACCATATCAATCCTCCCCTGGCTGCCCCTAAATCTCATGCCCTTCTCACATTGCAACATATAATCTGTCCTCCTAGACCTCCAGACCTGTGATGGGAAGCATTGCCAGGAAGGTCTCTGATATGCCTTTGGGGTGTTTTTCCTATTATTTTTGCTATTAGTACTTGCCTTCCTTGTAGTGATGTAAATTTCTGCAGTCAGCTTGAATTCCTCCCCCGAAAACATGGTTTTCTTTTCTGCCACATGGCCCGACTGCAAATTTCTTAAACTTCGATACTCTGCTTCCCTTTTCTACTCGCTTCACTGGAACCAGATGTAAGTTTCAGTTTCAGGTCATTTCTTTGTTCATGAATATGAGTATAGGCTGTTAGAAGTAGAGAGGCTAGGTCTTAAACTCTTTGCTGTTTAAAAATTTCTTCTGCCAGGTATTCTAAATCATTGCTCTCAAGTTCAAAGTTCCATAGATCCTTAGAGCAGGGGCACAGTGCAGCCAACCTCTTGACTAACACCTAACAGATGTAAACTTTGCTCCAGTTCCCAATAAATTCTTCTTCTCAATCTGAGATCTACTTATGCTGGAATTCATTTTCCATATCATTATCATCATTTGGATCACAATATAACAAGTGTTTAGTAAGTTTCAAATTTCCCTCAACCTCCTGTAGTATTCTGGGCCCTCCACACTCTTCCAGCCTCTGCTGATTACCCAGCTCTAAAGCTACTTTTACATTTTCAGAAATCTTTGTAGCAACGATTTTGCTGGTACCAATTTGCTGTATTAGTTCATTCTCTCATTGCTATAAAAAAATACCTGAGACTAGGTAATTTATAAAGAACAGAGGTTTTATTAGGGTCATGGTTCTGCAGGCTGCATAGAAACTTCTGCTTCTGGAGAAGCCTCAAGAAATTTACCATCTTGGCAGAAGGTGAAGAAGCAGGCACATCTTATATGGCTGGAGCAGAAACAAGAGAGATGGTGAGGATGTGCTACACACTTTTAAACAATTAGACCTTGTGAGAATTCTAAGGGGAGAGCAACACCAGTGTGATGGTGTGTAACAGTTCATGAGAAACTGCCCCTATGATCCAGTCAGCTCCCACCAGGCCCTAAATCCAGCACCGGGGCATTACAGTTCCACATGAGATTTAGATTCAAACCATGTCAGTGACTTCAACGTACCTGTGTTTACTGAGTCTTTTTCTGTTTTATATAGTAAAGTCATACTTTATCAAACTTACTTCAATATTCAGGAGTGCTGCAGTTTCATTGTGAAATCTAGCCTTTTACATTGAAGAGAAGCCTTCTATGTACCTTTGGTCTTCATTCAACTTAGACTAAACTTAAAATTTGTGACTTTACTTTTATGTTTGTTCTTTGCTAGATATAATTTTGCCCATTACTTTATCTCAAACACTTTTCTACATCACTTTTTTTGATACATCACTTTATGTAATTCTAATTTTAAAAACATGTATTAAAGATTTTCTTTACTTTGCAGTTATACACTAGAGATTGCAAATTTAATAAACATCAATAACATTACAAAATATCTCTGGGGCCATGAATTCATGAGCAGACTCAGTTGGTCTAAAGGTCTAGTTTGTGCATGAGCAGTGGATGGCAGCCTGGGGTAAAGGGCATGCTGCAGTTGAAGGACTGTGAGAAGCCCTGAACCTCACTGGGGCTGTAGCAATGTCCAGCGGAACCTAGGGTCAGAGAAACAGAGAACCAGATGAGGTAAAAATGAAAGGCTCAGTCAGATTCTTAGCACCATCCAATGTGAGTCCAAATTACTGTGGGATCTGGACCGCAGTAAGGGAGGTATCCTGAGGGGACTTCAGCAATGAGTGCTGTCCATGGCATCTGGGCCATGATGAAGGCCACAGGCACAATGATTAGGAGTAGACAGAGAGTCCCTGAGAGGTACTACAACAACCTGTGGCAACCTTTAGGGTGGGAACTTCAGTGGCTGCTGGGAGCCCTGGTTGTCACAGTAGGAGAAAATATCTGGGGGCCTTGGAAATGTGTCAGTTATTGGAGGTAAAAAATCTTCACTGGGGAGAAGCCCAGGCCAGAATTGTGCTGAACGGGAATCTTCTCTGGTTCCTGGGGTTGGCATAAGCAGGAGTTATCACTTGACATTTGGCACCGTATTTCATAGCTGTGGGTTCAGAGGACTAATCATGCTTTAGAGGAAAATGTCTCCAAATTCAGTGGCATATCTCTGTCTGGTTTTAGCCCTAGCAGATGAATCAGGGGCCCAGGAAATTCTGGAAAACTTAGTTGGGAACAGAACCCTAGAAGCATAAGAGTGGTCCAGTGCTACAACATTGGCCAGGTTCAGCATGGTTTTCTGGTCCCCACCCGTGTCCGTGGGCAACTTAATCAAAGGCACAGTGACATTGGGAGGAGTGATGAGGACATCAGGGAGATTACTAACAATGCTGTCAAGGGACGGCAGGCATGGGCCAGGGTGCATCGGTTCGTCAGGATCCAGTGGGGGCCCCAAGGGTTGAAGATCAGAGGCACAGCAGCAGCCAGAAGGCTTGGCAAGATGCAGAAGGCCCCTGCTCAAAGATGTGGGTTTGTCCATCAAAGTTTCATCAGGGTACTGGAAGTGAGGTTTGCGGCCTTGAACTGTGCTCCATATCCCCACTGAGAGGTGCCTCTTGGCTGCAGATTGGACAGTTGTCTCCTCAGTTCCCAGTTCTCGATGAACACGACCTTGACCACGACCACGACCACGACCACGACCACGACCACGACCACGACCAAGACCACGACCACCACCACGACCAAGACCACGACCAAGACCACAACCACGAACACGACAAGGACCATGGCCACGGCCACGACAAGGACCCTGCCTTCCAGTGGAAGCATGAAAAACCCAGGCTGATGTCCCTAGGGTTTGGAGTTCAGATTCTGGCACAGCACCGGTGTCAAGGCCCTTTGGGTTGTAACTGAGCCCTGGGGGCACAGTCTGTGTGGGACAGCTGGCTATGTAGTTCGGGAGATGCCTCAGGCCCAGAGCAGCTCTCCTAAGTGCTATGTCCTCCCTCCAGGTGCTCTCCTCCTGGCTCTCTGCAACCTTGGCCTCCATGTGATCCACAAGGGCAGAACCTTGCCTGTGTTTCCAGAGCCCGTAGCTCTCTGGTTGCAGGATACGCACGAAGGCGTCCATGGAAAAGGTCACCCTCGCCTCCCCACAGCTACACTGTGAAGCCACTTTGCCATAATCAATCCATCGTGGAGTGGCAAAATTGATGGCCTCTGCACAGTTGAAGCCATGGTTGAAGCCCGCATGATAGCCATAGGGAAAGGTCACAATGAACTCCCCAGCCTCCTGAGTCATGCAACTGAAGGGAATCTCGTTCTCTTTGAGAACTGTAGGAGAGATGAGGGCCACCTTGTGCCGCAGGAAGGCCTCACAGCCCTGGGAAATTGTTGGGAAAAGCTCGCTGGCCAGGCATTCCAGGCGCTGGCCATGTTCTGGGGGCACTGCGTACCACGTTTTGGGCTCCCCAAAGTGCAGGTAGTTGATGCTGTAAAGGTCCATGTCCTCCGTGTGCCAAGCAAATGTGGTCTTCCACATGCCAAAGTACAGGTAGGGGGTGTTGACGCCCTCGATGACCACCCCACATTCCTGCTCCAACAGGTCCAGAATTGTTCCCAGGTGTCCTAGGTTCCACTGTGTAGTGTTTTCTTCAAATAAGGAGCCACTAATATCAGCACCATAAATTGGTGAATCACCGGGGTGGCTCTTCCAGTATTGTTGCTCCAGATCGTCGAAATTCCGGTGTGGTGGAGTCTGATATTTCTTACTGTTTGCCAAATGGCGATAATTCCCGACTGTCATGGCTTTCTTCTTTTTATGGTATTGAGTAAACACACCTCCCTGCCCAGAGGTCACCTGCTGGAGGGGAGTGGCGACCAAGATGTCTTCAATACCATCGTAAGTCTTTCTGGCTTTCCATTCCTTGGGTGGAATTACCTTGGCGAGGCCAGCTTGGTGTGCGCCTTGGGACTCCATGTGAGCAACATATTTGTTGAAATCTGTAAATTCTTCCATGGTTGGGTAAAAAGTCATGATGCTACAAACTGTGTTCTGGGGAACAGAGTGCACAGACTTCATGGCTGCACACAAGAAACAGCTGACTCACAAGTTCTTAGGTGTCCTCTGAGTGCTGGGGAATAATGTCTTTCTGTTCCTTTCTTTTTCAAAATGCTATGGTTTATTTGTGAGGCTCCACCTGCAGCCCTGTGAGTTTCCTCAGTTGGAGGTATCACTGCGAGGTCTCTCCGGATTTTCAGGCTTGGGTGTATAAGAAGCTGCTAACTCCACTGTACCTGGGTGTCTTTCCGGGAAGTCAAAACAATAAACCTGAACAACAACACAAAATACAGAATATTTGAATCTACAATTTGTGACAAGAGAAAAGAAATACTCAGCTAGTATTAAGCTAAACAAGGTTATACTGTGTTAACATCAGGATATAAGGTCAAATAATAAAACAGAAAAAGAGCAGCATCTAATCAAACTAAGAGGGAAAATGATCACCTTTGCAAAGGAATGAATTAAAGACTCCACTCAAGAAACTGGATACATTAACATTGAAGGAAACAATGACAGTAAAGACACGAGCAGCAACCATCGCAAAAGGAAACAGAACCCCCAATAGGAAGATGACAAAAACTCAAACTTGACTTTTAAAAAAGATGGTGAGAATTAAAAAATCATAGGCATGAAGAGAAAAGAAAATACAAATGAAATGCATTGAGATAACTTAGGGGGCATAGCTAAAAATCTGGCAGAGATGTTTTAAAATTTTTAACTGAATCTTATGAACAACTGGTGGGATAATAATTTTCTCAGTAAGACAAATACCAAAAAGTGTTCCAACAGAGAAATAAAACGACCTACCTTCCACCAAAATCTCGTAATTTCTGATGAAAATACTCCAGGACCCAGAGAGGTTTCCTCTTGGTAGCTGAACTCCAAATGAAGCCCCAGGTTGCAAAGACCTTGGCTTTATAGTTGCATGGCATCCTAACCCAATCAGTCCCCAGCCAATGTAATCATGGGGCTGGGTCCAGATTAGCATCCCACCCATCCATGCCCCTCCCTTTTATTTTACCTTTAAATCAATCCTAGAACAATGCTAAGTAATAAAAAGTCAAACTGGCCACGCCCAGTGGCTCACGTCTGTAATTCCAGCACTTTGGGAGGCCGAGGTGGGTGGATCACAAGGTCAGGAGATTGAGACCATCCTGGCCAACATGGTGAAACCCCTTTTCTACTAAAAATACAAAAATTAGCTGGTGGTGGCATGTGCCTGTAATCCCAGCTACTCTGGAGTCTGAGGCAGGAGAATCACTTGAACCTGGGAGCGGGAGGTGGAGGTTTCAGTGAGCCAATAACACACCACTGCTCTCCAGCCTGGCGACAGAGGGAGACTCCGTCTCTACTAGTGTATTTTATCATTTAGTACCATAAAATATACACAGCTCTGTTGTGAAAACTTAATCAGCACTTACACACAGAGACAATACATGGTGCCATGTGTGTTGAGATAAATATAAACAGGCTGGGCTCAGTGGCTCACGCCTGTAATCCCAGCACTTTGGAAGGTCAAGGTGGGTGGGTCACCTGAGGTTGGGAGGTCAAGACTAGCATGACCAACATGGAGAAACCCTGTCTTTACTAAAACAAAAATTAGCCGGGCATGGAGGCTCATGCCTATAATCCCAGCTATTCGGGAGGCTGAGGCAGGAGAATCCCTTGAATCTGGGAGGCAGAGGTTGCGGTGAGCAGAGATCACCCCATTGCACTACAGTCTGGGTGACAGAGCCAGACTCTGTCATATATATGATATATATGATCATATATATATATCTCAACTGCACATGGCACCATGTATGGTCCCTGTGTGTCTAAGTGCTGATTAAGTTTTAACAACAGAGTTGTGTATATTTTATGGTAATGAATAATAAAATACACTAGTATCTACATATATTTTTACATCCATGATGTAACCTTATTTTTCTTTCTTATATACGCATATATATGACAGAGCCAGACTGTCTTAAAAGTATATACATAAATAAATGTGAATATTCAGTATTAATTCATAACTATAAAATTAATAATAATACATACTGCACTATCGTAAGAATTTTGTAGCTCTCTCAGGTTGCTATTGCGGTGACCTCAACTGTGCCCCATGTCCACTTAAAACCCTGGGGGACACTACTCCACATAAGCAAGATTTTTCTTCAGTAAATTGTGAATTGCAGCAAATAGTAATCATTTCAGGTTCTCGAGTATTTTTCATCGTGTCTAGTGCAATATCGTAAAGCTTAAATAACACCATAGAACCCATAAGGAAGTGTCTCTCCTGGTGTTAGAAGTGTTCCCAAGAAGCAGAGAAATTGTCATGACAGTACAAAGAAAAGCTGAGTTGCTTGATGCATGTTGTAGATTGGCAGCAGCTCGCCTGCCACTCCAGACTGACTACTCTAGAGAGTGCAGGAAGTAAACTTAAGGTATCCATAAATACAGTACAGTATTGCAAGTGTATTTTCTCTTATTTATGATTGTCTTAAAAACATTTTGTTCTCTCTGGCTTACTTTATTGTAAGAATACAGTTACAGAATGTATGTAACAAACAAAACCTCTGGTAATCAACTGGTTATGTTATTGGTTAGGCTTCCAGTCAACAGTAGGCTATTAGTAGTTAAGTTTCGGGGGAAGTCAAAAGTTACATGAGCAGTTTCAACTGCAGAAGGGTTCAGTTTTCCAAACCCCTTTTTGTTCAAGGGTCAACTGTACGTGTGTCTGCGTTTGGCCTCTGTATTCTGTACATAGATGTATTGTTCATGTCATCTCAAACATCACAGTTTGACAAGGGAGAAGTAATTTGTCTTTTTTTTAAGGAATCATGTTGGAGATTCTTGTTTGAATACCTGACTAACGTTTGTTAGCTGTCACCTGGGTCATGTTATTTAATGTGTTCATGACTCAGTTTTGTCATCCAAAAAGTAGAGTGAAGATTTATCCTATTGGTTATTGTGAAGATTAAATGAGTTATTCTAAACAGAGTAAATTGAGCAGTATTTTTCATTTATAGTCACCATGTATGTTAGCTATCTTGAATAACATTCTTACTGTTAGAGATAAAGAGGGATTTCTGTTTATCAAAAGATACGGAGAAAGAAAAATCAGGGATTGTGGGCAGAAATTGTATCATTCATATGCAACCAAGAGCTAATATCCATTATACATAAGGAGCTAGTACAGAGACAGCAAACACAGTAGAGAAAAGGATGAAAGACATAATAATACTTCATGAACGAGACAATTTGATTGGCCAGTAAATGAATGAAAAAATTGTTCACTCTGATTTGTAACCAGGGAAATAAAAATCCTTTTTGTTAGTTTTAAGTGAGAAGGCCTCACTGTGTCATCCAGGCTATTGTGCCGGGACATAATCATAGAAAATGTAAATCTTAATAGGACACCACCAGGACCTCACCTAATTGGCTACAACTAGAAAGTCTGATATTTACCAAATGTTTGCAAACATAAAGAACATTGAGCACTCTCATACACCGCTACCCTGCGTGTAAATTGGTAATAAGTGTTGACAAACAATTAGGCATGATAAAGTTTGAATTCACATACAGTTGTCCCTTAATATCCTTGGGTTGAAGGGGGTTTGATTCTTAGGACCCCCCTGAGTATTCTGGGAATTTTCAAGTCCCGTAGATAAAGTGGCTTAGTATGTGCATGTAACATGCACATCCTCCCAGATACTTTAAATCATCTGTAAATTTTATACAATACAGTGTAAATGCTATGTAAACAGTTGATTGTTGTATTGTTATTTTTATTGTTTCTTTCTGAATATTTTTGACCTACAGTTGGCAGAATTCACTGATGCTGAACCCAGAAATTACTGTGGGCTGCCTGTATTCTATGACAAAGGATCCATTCCTAGGTAAGAGGACGCATGAGCTACAGCATCCATATCCAAGCATGTTCTGAGCAACACTGTAAGAAGCCAAAGTGGAAACAATCCAAATGCCTACCAACAGCAGAAACATTTATTCTATTGGACTCCTTACAGCAGGCAACAGGACCGAGTACAGCTACACAGAAAACCATAGACAAGGGAAATGAAACAAACCAACAAAACCATTAAATTGTATAAAGCACAATTCTATTTATAGAAGCTTACATAACATTTTCAAAATGAGCAACGTTTTGGTAAATTTATTTAGAATTCTTCTGCAGAGGGGTTTTGTCTCTTCTCTCTATTTGTTAAATTTACTCATTTATTCATAACAGCACGAATCCGCAGGTATTTATTTTGTGCTTTGAATTATAACTCAATAGTATTTTAGTTACTGTGTTGCTCAACTTGACTTGGCCATTGGGAGCTGCTTTCATAGGCTTTTGTGCTCCTCTAATATAACCCCATAAATGTTCTTAATGCTCCTTCCTTCCTTCCTTCCGGGAGTCACTCTGTGGCCCAGGCTGGAGTCCAGTGGTGCAATCTCGGCTCACTGCAACCTCCATCCCCAGGGTTCAAGTGATTCTCCTGCCTCGGCCTCCTGAGTAGCTGGGATTACAGGCGCTTGCAACCACATCTGGATAATTTTTTGTATCTTTAGTAGAGACGGGGTTTCGCCATGTTGGCCAGGCTGCTCTCGAACTCCCAACCTCAGATAATCCACCTCCTAGACCTCCCAAAGTGCTGGGATTACAGGCGTGAGCCACCGCACCTGGCCAAATTATACAGCATTTCTAACATTGTTCTCTGAACTATTGGTTTCGGTTAAAATCCTGTTACAAAACAAATAAACATCTCCCATCATGATCGCAGATTTTTCAGTTTTATCTTCTGGGACTTGCCTCTCTATGTGTCAGTTCTATGTAGTTAGGTGCATAAAGTTATTTACTGTAAGACTCTAATATTTCCCTAGGAAATTTCTTTTCATTATAAAATGTGCTTCTCTGATCCTATCAATACAGTAAATATTAATATTGCTACCCTAGCAATATTAATTTTGTTTTGTCTGGATTGCCTGTTTCCATAAATTGACTTTTAACCACTTAGCGTTGTTCTAAGATTTATTTAAAATGTAAAAAGGAGGAAGCATGCGTGGGTGGGACGTCCAATCTAAACCCAGCCCAGTGATCACATTGTCTGGGCTCTGATTAGGTCAGGATGTTGCCCAGGTATAAAGCCAGGATCTTTGGGCCCTGGCTTCATTTGGAGTTCAGCCACCAAGAGGAAACCTTCCTCTGGGTCCTGGAGTATTCGGCCTGGAGTTGGGAATTTGCGAGTTGCTGCTCCAGGGCGCTCCCTGCTGAGCTTGGCAGCCTGCCTCTTCGCCCAGCCTTTCCTGGCGTCCCCACGCAGGGCGCAACCTCTAGAGAGGAACGCGGGTCTCACCGCCAGCGGCCAGGTCAGCGCCAGTTCCCCGGCCCTGCTCTGGGAGCCGTGAGCTGCGGCCCTCCCCATCCCAACGTGGACGGCATGATCACCCTCAAGGTGAACAACCTGACCTATGGAACCTCTCCCGACAGCCCGAGGCGCGTGGGCGACATGTACATCCCGCGGGAGCCCCACACCAAGGCGCCCCGGGTCTTTGCCTTCTTCCGCTTCCCGACTAGCGCGATGTGGAAGTTGCCGAGGCCACAGTGGATGCTGTGGGGCTGCATGGATGTGAGCTGCAGGTGCAGGTGTCTCGCCATGGCCGCCGGGGGGGACCCCGCAGCTGGTCCCGGGGCGGTGGCTATGGACCGTGGAGCAGACCCAGGAGGCGACACCACAGCCGATCTCGGGGTCCCAGCTGCTCCAGGTCCCTAAGCCAATCTCCCTGCAGGAGGTCTTGCTACAGTCGCTCTCCCTACAGCCAATCTCCCTACAGAGGATCTCGCTACAGAGGATCTCGCTACAGAGGATCTCGCTACAGAGGATCTCACTACAGAGGATCTCACTACAGCTGATCTCCCTACAGAGGATGTCCCTACAGAGGATCTCGCTACAGAGAATCTCGCTACAGAGGATCTCACTACAGAGGATCTCACTACAGCCGATCTCCCTACAGAGGATCTCCCTACAGAGGATCTCGCTACAGAGGATCTCACTACAGAGGATCTCACTACAGCTGATCTCCCTACAGAGGATGTCCCTACAGAGGATCTCGCTACAGAGAATCTCGCTACAGAGGATCTCACTACAGAGGATCTCACTACAGCCGATCTCCCTACAGAGGATCTCCCTACAGAGGATCTCGCTACAGAGGATCTCACTACAGAGGATCTCACTACAGCTGATCTCCCTACAGAGGATGTCCCTACAGAGGATCTCACTACAGAGAATCTCACTACAGAGGATCCCCTTACAGCCAATCTCCATACAGAGGATGTCCCTACGGAGGATCACCCTACAGAGGATATCCTGGCAGCAGATCGCCCTACAGCCAATCTCCCTACAGTGAATCTCACTACAACCGATCTTTCTACAGCGCATCACCCTCCAGATGATCTCCTTACAGGGGATCTCACTACAGCCAATCTCCCTACAGACGATCTCATTACAGGAGAGCTCGCTATAGCTGATCTCCCTCCAGTCGATCTTACAGCTGGCCTCACTGCAGCTGATTTCGCTACAGGGGATCTCAGTATAGGAAGTCTCCCTACATCCGGTCTTCCCGCAACAGCCACTCTCACTGGGAGTCTGGGTCTCCCTCTCGCTCCCCATCAACCTCCAAATCCAGCTTTCCACGAACATCCAAATCCTCCTGGGTCTCCAGATCTTGCTCACTGTCCAGGTCTAGATCTATGTCTGGGAGTCTTCCCCCATATCTAAGAGGGAATCCAAGTCCAGGTTGCAATCCAAGAGTCCTCCCAAGTCTCCAGAAGGGGAAGGACAAGTGTCCTGCTAGGAAAATGATAATCAGTTAACGTGTAATGGAGGACTTGGGGAAAAGGACCGCACACTCAGTCCATGGAAGCAGAGTCCCTGGATGAAGCAACTGCCTAATGAAATGGTGGTGTTACATTTGTCTACCTTTTTAACACTTTGAAGCTTGCATCAGATGGCAAAATTCATTTTATGCTCCATTTTGTTATTATTCACATTTTCTTGTAATTTAGTGAGGTGACAACTTTAGATTGGATTTTGGATATCTGAGGGGAAATTTTCTATTTGTTGGTTTTTTGTTTTTTATTTTTGAGATGGAGTCTAGATCTGCTGCCCACGCTGGAATACAGTGGCCATCTACAACCTCCACCTCCTGGGTTCAAGCGATTCTCAGGCCTCAGACTCTCCAGTATTTTGCCACGTTGGCCAACCTTGCCTTGAACTCCTGGGCTCAAGTGATCTGCTCACCTCACCTCCTAAAGTGCTGCACTCACAGGCATGAGCCCATTCACCCAGCCTATATTTGATTCTATAGTGCTGACATTTTTTATTTGAAATAAACAGATCAATAACCTAATTTTTGGCCTCCTGACTCAAGGAAATTTGTGCAGCCCAATGCTGTCACCACATTACATCAACATTGCCTTCATTCCTTCAAGTTAAAAACCTACAAAAGGCACTATAAATGTATATGTGTAATGTTATCACCTTTAAATCTAACTCACAGTATGACCCAGATTTGCATAAAGATTTCTCAGGTGAAAAGACTAGGCTTTTAGCAAATACAATTCTAATCTCATCTGTGTTTCTGTGCTCCAGGCCTGCCTGCATAGCGGTTGAGTGATGCTGGTTAGCTGTTAAGTGGCCTGGTGCAGTGCAGAGTGCTGAGCTGTTTCCTGTTTTCTTTTGATTGCTCCTGAAGATAGAAGCCCTGTCCTGGAGAACAAATGGCTGTCCAGGTTATTAAAATACCTGTCAACTGCTCTTCCAGTCACACAGGCCTTCAAGATAAATAATGGAGCATGGAGTGAGCACATCTAGCTGATGATAATCACACATTTTCCTCCTCTCTATTCTGATAAATGGCAAATTTGATCATATCAACATATATGAACTTAAAATATGGGGAATGTTATGGAAGAAATGGTTTGGGACTTTGTAAGTAATTATAACACAGTGTATGTTTTTGCTTATGAATATTTCTTACTATAGCCATGTTTCTATCACTGAATTAAATGTTTTCTTGGTGTTACCTTTTCTCAAAATAAAACTAGAAATACTTTGTAGAAAATGGATTGTTTTATTTTGCTATTAGACTACTTTCTGCCATTTGTACGTTTGGGAAAATTGTTATACCAAGTTTCTCATTAAGATTCAGTTGTAATTTTTTTAAAAAATACCGACACAGTTTAGCTATGTGCTTTATTGTTTTATCACAAAGTTTATTTACACTTTCCTTTCTCCATCTGTGATCTTTAACCTTTAAAGATCTTTTTAAAAAATCAGGTTTTAATTTCTGTTATTACCCCTACTGGGTGTAATTTTTTTTTGTTATTGTTTCCACTTATACCTTTATTTTCTTTTTTTTAAATTTTAATTCATCCAGTTTATTGAACTGAGTGCTAAATTCATTCATTCTTGAACTTGCTGATTTTTTTTTTCAGTTCAATGAGATACTCCTCTTTATGCTTTGATTTGACCTTAAATCCTGATATTAACACACCATACCAATATTCCATAATCGATCCATCCTGGGTGGTGGAACTGAGGGTCTCTGTATGGTTGAACCCTGTGTGGCATCACTAAGCTACTAAGGTAGCTTAAAGCTCAGTATTTTGTTTGTCACACATTTGTTTTGGACTTAACCACACCAGAAATTTAAAGATTTATAATGAAAATACTGGAAAAAATCAGACCCCTGTTTGATGAAAACGGTAAACAATGGAATCCTGGACATCTGGGAACAATTTAGGACTTTCTGGAGCAGGAATGTGAGGCTGTCATAGAAGAGGGTGTCAACACACCTTACCTAGACTTTGGCATGGGGAAAACCATCTTTCCATGGCACACAGAGGACATGGACCTTAACAACATCAACTACCATCACTTCAGGGAGCCCCTATCTTGGCATGCAGTGTCCCCAAACCATAGTCAGCACCTGGAATGCCTGGCCAGGAAGCTGTTCCCAGGGTTATGAGGCCTTCCTGTGGCACAAGATGGCCCTCATCTTGCCCACAGTGCTCATGCAGAATGGAATTCCTTTCAAGCACATGACTCAGGAGGCTGGAGAGTTCATGGTGACATTTCCTTATGGCTACCACACAGGCTTCAGCTCCACAGACACCATCAATTTCACCACCCAAGATGGGTAGATGATGGCACTATGGCCTCTCAGTGTAGCTGTGGGGAGGGCAGGGAGGCCTTTTCCATGGGTGCCTTCATGCACATCATGAAACTGGATCATTGTGAGCTATCAAAGCTAACAAGATGAGGCCACTGTGGCTCATAGGGAGCCCAGGGTGCTGGTCAACCAGGACCTGGGTGGCCTGTTTCTCTTCCTGGACCTGACCACTTCTAGGCCTGTGGTCCTGGATGTTGAGACCCACCACTGAGCCTATATGTACCAGTTGCAGTTTCCCTGGTACCTCTTGGCAGCCCAGGAAACTGATGTCCATCCAATGGTGACTACCCCCAGAAGCTCCCAAGAACACATCATGGCCCATCATCTATCATGGGTCTGTTTACTTTGGTTCTCTGCCTGTCACCTGGCAGACATGGTCGTGGTGGTCTTCTTTAGAAACCAGAGCTCAGCGGGGGATCCTCCAGTCTGCCACCAAGTGGCATAGCACACAGAGCTCTCGATATCCAGGCTTATCCTCTACTTGGAATGGACCTTTTGATAGACAGTCCTGTATCTCTCAGGCTGTTATGAACACTGGTATAAAAGTATCTTTGTGAGTCCCTGGTAATACCATCTTAATCACCTTGCAGAAATTCCATATTCTTCCTTGAACATCAGTCATATTCCTTTGCATCTACCTTGAATGGAGATTTGATATACATCTATAGTAAATTAGTTTTTAATATCATCTTAATTTTACAAATTGTAATTAGATTGAATTTGAATTAAATTTAAATGTTAGATTAAAAATTAATTGTGTCACTTCTCATGAATTTGGGGAAACTACTGACAGCAACATACCTTTTACTCCTCTACCAAGTATTTGAACACTAACATTTATTACTATTTGGGAGAATTCATGGATCTCTCAGTTCTATCCTGGGTCCTAGGTTTAGGAGTCTAGAGATCTTTTCAATATTCCCTCATCATGGATGTCTCCTTGGCTTTGAAACAGCATTTTTATTCTTCAAATAGACAGTAGAGCTTGGGGAAACGTGTGTTCCACATCTTTTTATTCCTGCTGGCGGTAGCTCACTATAGGTACACTGTGGTTCTGTGGGAAGCTGGGCATGGTGACCAGGTGGCTGTGTGGAGCCAGAAAGCTCTTGCCAAGCTCACAGCCAGGACTGTACGTGCATTGAACACAGGATCCCTTTACCTGACACAGAACCGGCAGTGCAAAGCTTGTGGCTTCTCTAAGAGTGAGCGTGGCTGGGTAATGGGAGCTGCTTCAAGTGGGTGTCCGTCTTCCTGGCCATCTACTTTCAGAGGTTGCCAAAGTCCTGACTGCGTCCTCTTAGGGTGAGCACTTGCCCAGAGAATCCAGAGGTGAGTGTCCCAGGCCCCCGTGCTGAGCTCAGGCAGTGCTTGGGAGAGGGTTATCCAGGGAGTTTTTGTGCTGGCCTTGTGTTTCTAGGAGGAAATCGGGAGGGGCAGGCATGGGCTACAGGGTCCAGAGAGGATTTTACCACAGAGGTAGAGAAGAACGTTCTGGTAAAGTCTCATTTCCCTTCTCTTTTCCTCCTCAGGACAAGCTCCATGAGGACATGGGGCAGGCTTAGGGCCAGGAGCTTGAGATCTAGCTTAGAAGTCATGTGAATTTAATTAAGGAAAAATTATAGTTTGTAAGAAACAAGTTAGAGTAATATTTGAAAAACTGGAGAATTTAAGTCACTTTAT